ACCCTATCTTTTCCATCTTAACTCTTAACATATTTTCTACTATAGAAAACTTCAAACATTTGCAAAAGTAGAGAGAATAGTATCATTAACTCTTCAATACCCCTCGCTCCGTTTAAGCACTTACATGGTGGACGTGCCCTCCACTCCCTGCTCATTTTCCCCCAGAATGAATTATTTTACAGCAAATTCCAGAAAGCCCATCATTTCATCCATAAATATTTCAGTATGTTTCTTTAAAAGAGAAAAACTCTTAACAACACTAGTATCACAACCTGCTACTATCATTCTTAATATCGTTAACACAGATGGCTTTTAAATGTTCCCAGTGATTTCAGATATTTTTTGTTTTTATAATTGGGTATATTTGAATAGAGATCCAAACATGGTCCACACACTGGATCCTGGTCCCTTCCTCTTAAATCTCTTTTAATCTGTGGCCACCTTAACTTCTTTCTCTAACAAGGCCCAGCCCAGACATGTATCTCTTTCCCACCTACAAGGCATCCTTTCACTCTACTCCAGACCCAGCATGTCCTCAGCCACCATGCTGCCACCTGCAAACACCGAAGTCCAGCTCCAGTATTGTTTTCTCCCTGAAACCCACCCTCAACTGCCACCAGCCTGCTTCCCGAGCACGAGCCATCAGAGTCTCCTATGGCACTTTATCTAGACCTCACCTATAACCTACCTCACCTCCAAACTCCTGGCGGGGCACATGCTATCTAACTTCTCTTTCTAGGCATCAAAGACCTTAGTACCATACTCTGCATCTTCCCTCCTCTCTTTGCCCTCACCCACCCATTCTTTTATGAGCTATGTTTCAGGCATTCTGAAAATGTCTAATGACCCCAAAATTCTATTTTCTGACCCCCAAATATTAGTGGCTCTTTTACCTTCTTCAAAATATATGCAATTAACCCTTTCAAGATAAATGTTAACAAGGGCCGGGGATTTAGCTCAGTGGTGCTGCCGCCTGCCCCGTAAGCGCAAAGTCCTGAGTTCGATCCCTGGTACCAAAAAAACAAAAAGATGAATGTTAACATTATGATATTGCTCTTAACGGACAATTTACTTTCATGAGAAATCATTTTACTTCAGGAGACCCCAAAACAGTCTAATGCTCAATCCTGGGATTGTTGGGGACTCTACAGACATCTTTCCCTTTGTCTGTTCGTCTCTCTAATACACAACACTTACCACCATCCATTAAGCACCAAGCCCACTGGGGAAGTCAAGTGGGAAACAAGGACAGTCACCAGCATGACTGGAAAGATAAAAGCAAGGACAAATTTTCCAACAACACCAGGTGGGTAGAAACTGTAAAATCCAAGAAGCAACCAGGTAATTTACCGAGGGAGCTGCATTTGACCTGAGCTTCCTCTCAGAGAAACAAACTCGAGAAGGAGGATTTTTCCCTTGCAAAACCTGGAAAAGCATAAAGGACACATAACAGAGTCAAAAGTATGTTAGGAAATAAGGCACCAGAGTACTGACTAGTGCTTCAAAAGAATAGCTGATAGACAGCATCCCTTTTCTGACAGATGCATTTCTCTATAAGAAGGGAAGTAACACCGCCCGCATCATAACCCACACCTCCACTGCCTGCCACTGAGTTCCAGTCCCTTCTGCTGAACAGTGTACCCGACCTGGCCAGGCAGTCATGAATTCCTGTCCATGCAGCGATCATCTGTTCTTTAAAAGCTACGGCTGTTCTGGTCTCCAAAAAACTAGTAAAAAGTATCTATTTGGAATACCTGCAAAATATTCTTAATATAATTTGACAGACTTCACCAAATGTTCTAGTAATTTAAAACTTTTAGTGCTCAAGCTTGGGCCAGGATGAAGTGCTTGTTAGATGGCAATGATAAAAGAGCACTTTAGAGGTTTCTTGGCTCGTGTTAGTGGCAAAAGTTAGAAAAACTGCTGGGAGGAGGTTGGGCAGCCTCCTCAGACCTATCAAGGAAATGAACTTTTTAATGCAATTTTAGTTCCTTAAAGAAATGTCAGCTTTTAGTCACAGTGGTTGACAAGTCTGTCCCCTGGGGCAGGGGAAAGGCTAAATGTCAGGGAACAAATTACAGAAACACTCTTTACCAGATTAAAAAATTATATTTGATTCCTTCTCCAAATATTTAATAGAATACTCTTAAAATTCTATTCTATAACATCATCATGTAATAAAGTACCAAAAAGACAGCACTGTCTACTGAATGGACTTTTTCCATAAACTATACCATTTAGACTCTTTCAGCAGCCATCTTTGGAAGCAAAGCTAACAGGAAATAACACATTCATGAGTCTCTTCAAGAAATGGCAAGGAAACTCAAAAGCAGGACACAGAGTAAAGCCGAGTTCTCTAAAAGACCTCCCGCACCCCCACTGGACCAAACCCACCCCAAGTCATCCAGCAGGTGCTAGAGACTCCTGCAGTAGGTTCCAATCTCCTGCTCAGTATGCAACATAAGGCTACAGAAAAATAATACACTAAAGACAGAAATAAGAGAGAAAGCAGGGACTGCCAAGGATAATGCTGGGTCCCCAGCAAAAGACCCAGATCAGTCACATCCACTGACTTTTATTGTTCATCAATTGGGGTCAAGGTGAGCTACCTGTACAGATGTGTGGCTGATGCAGTTACTATGGAAATTAATGCAGCCAAGGCTTTAAAGAGAGGACACAAAGCATTTTCAAATTAGAAACAAGATAGACAAAATATATGGTTATGATAGGACATTGTCCCTCCCGTTATGAAGGCACTAACTGTGGGAATGGAATTTGGGTGTGAATTACTCCAATTTCAGCTGTGCATGTTATCTCACGTTAGTCCCACAGCTTCATGGGCCATTACTCCGGTCTTGGCCATGGCCATTATCGGGGAGGTCATGTTGACCTATGCACTACCGCAGTGCTCATGAGATGCTTCTGTGAGTCACACAGCTTCAGTCAGACTCACTTCTTAAAGTAAGCCAATTGAGGGATTTAATTTTACAGCCTGCCACTGCCCTCAGCATGCTTTGGGCATAACCAATGTTGCAGCTTCCTGTAGCAGGGACTCAATCCCCAGAGGGAGCAGCTTTGGGTGACTGTGGCCAGGTCCTGTGCCGAACCCTGGCATGTGGTCCCATGACTACTGACCAGCAGATGGGCTACAGAGGGTCTATGGGATTTTTAAATTTTAAATTCAGTTAAAAGTTGAAGATCTCATGCCAGCATCAAGATTATCTGGCTTCTCTTTAAAAATGGAAAGATCTAGCAACAGGGGAACAGGGCAGTCAGGTGGAAAGTGGGAGGCAGTTGCTCTCTACATGTGCCAGGAAGGGAGAGGACCAACAGAAGCCAGGGTTTTTAAAGGTGGGGTCAGGCAAGAACTTCATTACCTACCATGTGGACAACTCAATGTGGGGAATCATACAAGTCACTGAAGCAGAGGCCACCACGATCCAGCTGTTGAGGGAAAGGTACTGGCAGCAGAGCAAAATGTGGCCCAGGGCAAAGGGCCTCTGCCAGGACACTCTGGGTGAGCCCTTTCACGTCAGCTTTCTGACTTCTCTGCCATCCACACGTCTCAACCAACCCGAGCCCTTTCCCCAGACTGATCCAACTTCATGAATTACACAGCAAGAAGGCTGAGCTAGCACACAAGGGTCACCATGCAATGCCTCAGTCCTCCTGAGGACTGCAGTTCCTGATAGAAGAGGTTCTCTCACTACCTGCTTCCTTCCTCACCCATGCACACATTACAGACCCAGGAAGGATGCTGCTGCTCACTGCTCTCACTGCCCACAATGAGCCCCCCAGAACATGTCACATGACCTGGGGCTTTGACACAGGGACCGAAGGGGTGTCAGAAAACCGAACCCCAGACAGGGAGCTCACTGCAAAGACCTGGTGGGGCACCAGCACGTGAAGGCCACAGCAAGGACATCAGGCTGCCACACAGCAAGGGAACGAGAGGCAAAACAGATGAGGCCCCTCAAAGCCATGATTAAATCAGTTCTGCTTTTTTCCCATCAAATTAAATCAAATCTCAAACAGAAGCTAAGATAGACAAATCAACAAGAGGCTTTTTAAAAGTGTCTCAAAGTTGTCATAACCCTGAACAGACTATTTCCCAGACTTGTCACTGTTAGAACAAACAAACCCATCTCTCACTTTTTGTCATTTGTGATTACCATGACATAATTGAAAATCAGCAAGGCACAGTGGGGCTTGGGGGGAGAAGGCTCCTAGCGATGAGCTGTCACTGTGATTTTCACGGAATAAACAATATCAAGAGTTCTTTCTTCAACAGTTTTAACCTATATGTTACAGAAACTCTGAAAATCTTACATTCTGTAATTCCCCCTCTTTCCCTAAAGATGTGATGATATTTCAAAGCATTTCCCCCTTCCAAACATAGTTCTTCTCTTCCACAGACAACATGCGGCTTGCACCAAAAGACTTCAACATAATTTAAAATATATTTGCAGAAGCCAAGAATTCAATTACAAGAAAAATTATCTTGGAAGGGTTTGAACAATTCAGCCAATTGGCCCATTTGTGACTTTGCTGAGAACCTGAATTATTGCACAACAGGCTGCACACGGTCCCAGGGTACAGGCCAGGTGGGAGTGCGCAAGGATCCCAGACACCTGGGGCCTGTCTGCAGCTCTGTCCTTCAGCAGAGTCACACCACGCCCGAGGCCTCTGACTTGACCGCCGCCTTCCGCTCTGCCAGGCAGGACACAAGTCAGGCCGCACAACCTCACCTTCTGCAACCGCATTCAACCCATGTCCTCCTGGTGCCTATAGACTTCAAAAGTCACCAGAACCATGAGGCTTATGCTTTTTTGGCAAGCTCTAGTTTCATGAGCTTATAAGAATGAGTCTCACTCTGTAATTAAAAGGAAAGAACCAGCCAGCACCAGTGTGAGAGAGGCGGTCTCGGCCCTGCCTCCGTGCCCCAGCCTCACTCTGCACCCCATCCCGACACCCTCTCCTCCCTGCCACGGCAGACTCACCTTGGTTGCCTCCTCCACACTCTCCCTCAGGGCCTGCAGCTCCATGTCGTACTGCTCCTTCAGCCTGTCCATCTCCTGGTCGTGGCTGGAAACCTCTTCTTTCAGGGCGCCCTTCAGGGCAGTGAGCTCACGCTCTCGCTTTCTCAAGAGATCTTCCAGCTCCTCTTTGGCAATCAGCAGATCGTGAAGGTCCCGCTTTGCCTGCAGAAGCTCCTGAAGAGATGAAATGGGACGGAGGAGGTGAACAGTGGACATCTCTGCAGGCGGCTCCACCAGGGGCCTGGCCAGGCTCTCCTTCCTCAGACCAACACCACTCTACACCATGTCTGCCTTTCCTGCTGCCCTGCTCGGCTCTCATTCCCCTGGACCACTCTGTCTTAGCTTCTCTGAGACATAATGTGAGGTAGAAAGGTGAGAGAGAGTTAACTGCTACTGCTGTGAGGGACCGCCTGGCCCTGCAGCTCACTTCATTTCTGTGTGATGCTCTGCTGTCCTTGCCATGATCCCGGGCGTGCTTCAGCTACATGGGGCCCACTCAGACCTGCTGGCCTTGCCTGCTTCCTACCCTGTGCATCCCTCATAGTCAAACCCTCTGCCCACACTCCAGGTCCCCTCTCACCCAAGAGGAGCATGATATTCACATTTTCTCTTCCTTCATGGCCAAGAATTCACAAGGAAAGTCACCCAACCAGGGAAACGGGTTCTATTTCAAATCCCATTACCTCCACCACGTGCCGGCCAAAGGCTCGGCCTTCCTAGTGCTGCAGCATCTTCATCCCAGAATCCGGGTGCTGCTCCAGCTCAGGGCTCCCCCGCATCACTTCTCTGTCTCCACTCTCCTTGGTATTCCAGGCTGACCTCCCACACAAGTCCCTTCCCAGAGAAGTGAGTGCCCCCGCCAGGCTGCCCTGAGATTTGACTCCACCAGTTGTCTTCTTGACGTTTTGTTCTTTCTCATTCCCTTGAATCTTGGCTCCCAACAAGCCCTGCCACCAAACCTTTTGAAAATATCATTTCTGCTCACAGCCTCTAGGTCATGACCACTCGCTCACCCCTTAATCTCCTCCTATGTGGCTGCGAGTCCCTGCTGTACTGAAATAGCTCCTCCAAGGTCATGGCGAGTGTCCCATCTCCACTTCCAAAGGCCTCCCCCGTTCTTGATCCTCCTTGCCCTTCACCTCAAAGTTCTCCTCTGCCTGGCAGTCCAAAGACTGCACACTCTCCTGTCTGCTTCTCTCGGCCCATGTTTTCCATGAGGATCTTTTCTGGCTTTTCTCTCTCTCCTTCAAAAAGCTAAGATGATCCCCAAGAATGCAACTTTGCATTCTTTATCCTCCTTTGGCAAGCTCAACCAAACCAGTAATTCTACAAAAAAGAACTCAGAGCCCTTGATCTGCAATCCTTCTTGGAGTTCATTCCTGTACCAGCACCACCAGGGACTGCTGAACACATGCACCTGGGCCTCCCCAGCACCCCGGTTCAGGAGGGCTGCAGTTTTAGGTGAATTCATCCTGTTCCTTCGCTTCCACTTCCCGTTTTTATTATTTCTATGACTATACCTCCTGCTTCCTAAACACCCAACCTCAGGAGCTGAGCAACAACTTTGACTTTCGCCTCTTGTCCTTGTTCCTAACAACCAAAGTTATTTCTGTAACGTTTTAGATGCTTCCTCTCACCTCCTCAGGTTAGGTCCACATCACCTCCTACACAAATGCTTTGCAGGAGGCACACACCTGCCCCCAAATCTAGTCTGTGTCTGTCAGCTGCAGCCTCCATAATATCCATGGACATCCTCCAGAATGAACCTCCTTCCCCTCTGTCCCACCCCTCTCTGCCTTTTGGAAAATCTCTGAAGACCAGGATACAATATGATTTTCTCCAACAAGTCTTTCTTAAGTCTCCTCCCAAACACCTCTTACTTCTACTCTCTGACACTCTTGACTCTTTACCTTGCATTATGTTTCATGATTTTTTTTTTCTTATCTCCCTTCCTAGGCTGTCAGCTTTTTAAAAGATGGATGTAAAACTGGTTTCTCATATTTTTGATGCAAGAATCACAGTGTTAGGAGCAAGCATTTGTCTGTTCTGGGAATAAGGTAACATGTGCAGCATGGCAAGGGTCTGCCGTGTCAGAGTTCTAGACCCAGTCCATCCCCTGTGTGGCTCTGAATGAGAATCCATGCAGTTCTCAGAGTCCAAGAGATGGAGGGAGGGGAAGAAAAGGAGAAGTAAAAAGAATTAAGACGTGTTATATACATGTACCAACTTCTCACAATGAGTGTGATCATTATATGATTCAAACATGGAATAATAAAAATAAATTAAAAAATGAACACCTCCTGTTCTCTTGGGGACCTTGGCATGCAACACGATAAGCTGCCCTTCACTCATGATATGTGTCCCTGCTGAGAGTACAGAAGCATTTCAATCCATCTAAATATGACTGACAATGAAATCTCTCCATGTTGTCTAGGAGATGTGGCTCCACTGAACCAGGGCAATCCCAGGACAGAGCCCAGTACATAGGCTAAGACTCAGCCATCCAGAATCTACCCAGCAAACACTGATGAGCTCCAATGAATTGTCCAGACCCATCGAGGTAGCTAGGGTGGTTCTAGTCTTCTATACCAAGATCTCACCAAGATACACCCTGTGCTGATATTCGTCAGAGGGGACGCCGGCTGTTGCTAGCTGGGTGGTGAGGACAGAACCCCCCCTCCAGGGCTTCCTGGAGCCTCCTGCCAGCCTCTCAGAGCAGCCTTGGGACTCTGACCTTATTTCCTGCTCTGACTCTCACACACTTCTCACTTGTTTGGTCGACAAAGCAGTTCCTCTTCCCACACTTATCTTTTCCAGAACATATCTGTGTTTCTGTTTGCCATGGGGGAGGCCATGGGTTTCTGGCCCATCCTACACCAACAGGCTGTTATCTGTTGCTTAAGTGAACTGCACTGCACAAATCCAATCAGATTACACCTTGCCCTATCGCGCAGTAGCCCTTGAGGCTTTCCAGAGCAGAGACCAAAAGGCACAGGAGGTTCCAAACACCTCACTCTCCATGACCTCGGGGCTTAACTGCATCAAGTCAAAGAAGGAAAGAAAAATACAAAACTTCACAGTGTACATAAACATCAGGAGATGAACGTGCCTCTTTGGAGATTCCAATCCAGGAAAACTTTGGCTCTTTAGAATCAGTGCTTCCTAAACCTGGATGTACTCAGTTCCACATGTGACAAGCAGTCAGGAGATTAAAACAAACAAACAAACAAACAAACCCTAATGTGCATGCCTGTGTGTTTTGGAGGGGGACAGAAAGGTCAGCTATGTTTGATACTCACTGCGTAGTAAGAAACACGCTACTCATTTCCGAAGATTCAAAGAGATGACTCTTTGAGGAGATGAATATTACTTTGGAGCTCTGAGACCCTAACATGTCCAGGATCCCACAGCTCACAGACAGGCGAGCCACAGTGGTGACAAGATCGGATGCCCGCTCCCTTTCTCTCCAGCATACAGCCACCACCACCCAACCACAAAGCCACACACACAGGAGGTAGACAGCAAACACAGGCTCTGGGGTTTGTCAGGTGTAAACAGAGCAGAGCATGGCTTGGACATGCCTGTGGGGAAGTCCACCTTTGTAAACCAAAGCATAGACTCGTGACTAGAACCCAAAAAGCTAAGAAGGAAAGAAGGCAGGAAAGCGGCCATCCCAGCAGCAGCCCGAAGAGACAGGCACCTGTATTCCAAACACTGCCTAGTCTTGGGTCCTCCACATCAAAATGGAGAAAACATGGGTCAGGCCTCTTTTGCACAAATGCTTCCCCGAAATCCTACAGGGTCCCGCTCTGTCCTGGGCTCGGTGAAGAGCGAATCACAGGTTTTGTCCCACAGTGGTACCTGACCGAGAATCCTATAATCTTTTCCTTGAGAATGTTCCAAAGTGGCTGAGAACCATGACCTTTATGGTTGCTTCCTGTTCACATTTGCAGAATGTTTGGTAACATCACATCACGAGTAGTTTATATTTATTTTTTTCTTAAATTCTTTTATTGGTACATTTTAGGTATACAATACGTTTACATTTATCACTGGGTACTTGCACCTGTACATGATGCATCTTGGTTCTTATTTTTCCCCATTACCTGTACGCCCTTCACCCCTCCACCCTTCCCTGTTTACATAGACTTTGTTTCCATTTTTTTTTCATTCCTCATAATTTTTCCTTTCCCTTCTTTCCTTTCCCCATGTGCCCCCACCACCCCTACACCTTTGGACCTTTTCCTATTTCAAAGTATCAATTATTAGTTATTAATCCTTTTAGCCCTTATTTACACTCTCAGTTTCTCACACTAGAGAAACTATTCGGTATTTACACATGTGTGTCTTATTTATTTCCCTTAAGAGTATGGCCTCAATATACATCCAGTTAGCTATAAATGACTCTAGTTTCTCATTCTTTATGGCTGAGTAGTACTCCATTTTATAAAAAAACCCACATCTCTTTTATCCAGTTGCCAGTTGATGGGCACTTGGGCTGTTTCCAAGCTTTAGCTATAACAAACTGTGCCGCAATAAACATGGGTGCACATATATCGCTGTGGTATGAGTCTTTTAATTCTTTCAGGAAAATACCCAGCAGGGGAATAGCTGGATCAAATGGGACCTCCAGCCCTAGTTCTTTGAGGTATCTCCATACTGATTTCCACAGTGGTCGCACCAGTCTGCACTCCCACCAACAATGGAGAAGGGTTCCTTTCTCCCCACACCCCCGCCAGCATTTGTTATTGGTTAATTTCATGATAGCAGCCATTGTTTGTGGGGTGAGGTGGAATCTCAGTGTTGTTTTCATCTGCATCTCTCGAATGACCAATCACGAGTAGTTTATACCTATCTGAAAGACCTCATTTCTGAGCACACACTGTCCCCGGATTGATACAGTTTCACAGCCACAGGATTTCTGTGACACCAAATGTTGCCAAATGCCAGGAATAAGACATCACAACACTCCGACGAGGGAGGCTCCATCTCAGTGTCACAGGTACCACTGAGGACCGACACTGGGCCACGGGGAAGCCCCTCTGTCGTTACTGACCCATTACCCTCAGAACCGTGTGTTCACTGACAAAGAAATGGCTGCAAACTTGTGCCATGACCTTTTCTGTAACATGAGTTAAAAAATAATTTGAATAATCTGAACCATCAACTTAACTACAAATTTAAAAACTGCCCTGTTGTTGGTCAATTATATGACTTACCTTAAGAAAACAGTATTTTCTAGTAGTTTGTCCCTTTTTTTTAAGACAGGATCTCACTCAGCCCAGGGTGGCCTCAAACTGGAAGCAATCCTCCTGCCTCGGCCTCCTAAATGCTGGGATTACAGGTATGCACCACCATGGCCAGCCTCATTTTTATAAACGATTTATTTTCCTAGTGTTATTTTACAGATTTCATATAGATGCTTTTTAACAAAATGTGAGATACTAATGGAGATTTCTGGGCAGGATAGCCCAGTGGTAGGGCACATAATTAGCTTGTGTGAGTCTCTGAGAATAATCACCGGTACCAAAACTGAGAATCATGAAAGCTCTGGCCCATCAGGCAGGCCGCTGCACAAAGTATGGGGCCTGCAACCTTTTTCTGACATTAAAAAGCTTCAGGTTCTATGTGTTTAAGAGGTTGTGCTAAGCCAAAAGCCACGGAAAACTTGGCCACAGTATAATCTGTCATCAAATTCTCCCAGGCCAGTTTTTATTAAGATATAAATAAATTGAAAGTGACAAGGAGATGGGGTCTATTTTATTAATGCTGTAGAAACCATAGACCATGATTTAAACACTGCTGACAAGTCAGAGAGAACCAGTAAAAGCAGTCAGGGTGATTTCTTCCCCTTCCAGAGGAAAGAAAACCACTTAGGCCTCGATGCTAACTGTGGCCCAGCCCCTAAATCCTCCTGCAAAGAGGTGGCGGCAGATGACTTAGCTCCTGTTAGGAAAGGGACAAACAACCTGGAGCCAACAACTCCAGGAACACAGTGAAGGAGAGATGCGCCTTGGGCTGAACATTCAACACCAACATGGAAACATGTGTCCTTATCCAGGGCACGGATACAAAGAGCCAACAAGCTGCCTCATTCATCAGATTGTGTTCAGTAATACAAGTCAGTATGTTGTGTTTGGACTTGAAGTATGCAGTTTGTTTTAGAATTACGCCTTTTTGAAGGCATGACTTTTCAAAGTAATTTAAACACTGAAAATTATTCACCGGCTACAGCATTTTGTACTCTGCTAGGCCTGAAATGGGGGAAAACCACAAAGTACGAGGTGCTCTTTAATAAGCTGGTTAGAAGAAAGATAAGTACTGAAACAGCAAGCATCAAGTGGGCTAAAATGGAGAATCTTACTGCAAGAGCAGTTTTGGGTTTTGGTGATTGAGGAAAATTGGCAACTCAGGAGCTAAGACATCTTTTCCTTTTAGGGCCAATGAAGTGTCCACTTAAGGAGTCCGCCAATACAACAGAGTCTTATCTTCCATTTGACTTCATGTGTGAAGCTGTACAAACTGAAAGCCAGGAACTCTTCGGGGATGCCATTTCTGAGACTATCCTCAGGAAATTTTTTTGCATGTAAAGATAGATGTAAAAAATGCTCCCCACAGGATTTGTTCATAATTACAAAATAAGAAAAACATAGAACTGTAACTGAGATTGTGGACTGTCATCTTAAAAATAACTCGGAAGGTAGAATAAACAAGGAAAATGTTTTTGACACGTTAACTTTGAAAAGCAGGTACCAAAAGTGTAGCGGCACTCTGGCTATCCCCACATAATATAAAGATGGGTGGGCGAAACCTGCCAATGGATAGGGAGGCAGACAGAAAATGCTGAAAAAAAGTACTCCCTTAGATATGAAAATGTATGCGTGTGCCTTGTTTCAAAATTTCATTTTAGGTTATAATACTTCACAGATAAATACACATATTTTCCAAGCCCCATTCTACATACTTTGCCCTTGTAACTCCAAGCTCTAAGGAAGGTAGGGCTGTTAGAAGTGGCAGAACTTCTAATTTGTGGTGGGGTTTACAGAATCATCTGATAAAGAGAAAAACCAGGGCCAGGGATTTAGCTCAGTGGTTCCCCCACCTGCCCTGCAAGTGCAAGGACCCAAGTTTGATCCCCAGGACCGAAAAAAAAACCCACCAGGTGGCGAGGAAGGTTTCACTAGGGGCCAGAGACAGTTCTCTAGAAAATGGCTCTCTTCCACCCATGTGAAAAGCAAGTTCAAGTGCCCTTGTGCTCTGTGGCTGCAGCTCTCCTGTCAGCCCTGCCAGGTCACAGGGACAAGAAAGGCCAAGGTCTGCACAGGAGGAACTAAAATCCTTCCTGGGGAATTATTTCAAAAATAACCCAGGAAAAGGAGAGAGAACAGCTGACAACTGAGACTTAAAGAAGGTCCAGGAACTTATGAGACAGAGACTTTTAACCCCAAGAAAGGGAAAAGAGAGCACCTACGCCCTAAGGGAAGGAGTAGAACATGAAATACTGACAAGGAGCCTTTAATTGTTACTTTCTTTGTGGAGAAAGGGGAGGGACCTTTGTTCTAAATCATATATCATTTATTCTTGGGTTGTTTCTACACGAAAGCTTATAAAGAAATATAAAAAAAAGTCAAAGTGATAATGTCACAAAATATCAAATATTAGAATGGATGTAGAGATAAAAGGTCTAGCTTTTTTTCACCCTAAGATAGATAGACAGACAGACAGATGGATGTTTTGGGTTTGTTTGGTTGGTTGGGTTTTTTGTTTTTTTAAGACAGGCTCTCCCTATATAGTGCAGGCTGGCCTTGAACTCATGGAAATTCTCCTGCTTCAGTCTCCCAAATACTGGGATTATAGGTGTGCATCACCACACCTGGCCTGACCCTCAGTTATATTTATTCCCAACAAAATGTAGATGATCGAATTCAACATTTTTTCTCTCTAATCTTGTCATATCTTATACCTCAGCAGGCTGATAATAGACTAAGGGAAGAGAAGAGGATCTTTGACAAACCCCATAATAATTACCAAATGCTAAGTGGAGTGCAAAGAGTCAACCTTATCTGCTGACTCACAAATTTAAAAGAGAGAAATATTCAAGGTCTCTTCTGAGCAGAAGGCAGATGGGCACCCTGTGTACATAGCAAATAGATTTACTCATTCATTCACCTCCTCCATCATAGATCCATCCAATCATCCATCAAATATGTGCTGACTGCCACATATCCCAGGCACTGTAGTAGCCATGGCAAACACAGTGCTGAGCCTCATGAAGCATACAGTCTTGTGGGGCCTTAAAAAAAAATTAGGCATTAATACAATCTTTTTTTTTTTTTTTTTGGTACCAGGGATCAAACTCAGGTCCTTGCACTTGCAAGGCAGGCACCAGAACCACTGAGCTAAATCCCCGGCACAATCTTTTTTTTTCTGGTATCTGGGAATCAAACTCAGTACCTTGTAATTGCCAGACAGGCACGGCGCCACTGAGCTACATCCCCGGCAATTAATACAATCTTAATATTTGTCCATAAATGTCATATTTATAAAGTATTCTTATCCAAAGTTTAACCTGAATTTATCAGTGCTTAGATTTAATTTCCAATTTGCTAAAGATATGGGGGATAGTAGAATAAGTTAATGGACACTATAAGGAAACAATCAGGCAAGTCTAGAAGGTGGGGCAAAGCTCTGGCTTCTTGAGAAGGTCAGCAGGATGGTACAGAGGGCAAGGAGTTGGCGATGGGGCAGGAGGAGCTACAAAGATAAATGAAACCTGAGGTACTTAACAGGAGAAGCACTTGTGAATCCTGATTGGATTCTGGCTTGGAGTAAGAAAACAAATATAAAATATGCCTGGGGGACAATTAGGAAATTTTGAATAAGGATTATTAGAAGTATTATTACTGAATACATAATAAAAATTAATTTTTAGGTATAATAATGGTATTGCAGCTATGTAAGAAGATTCCCTCATTCTTTCAAAGATGTATGATGAAAATTTTGAGAGTGAGATATGCTGCTGTCTGTAATTTGCTTTGAAATACTTCAGTAAACAAACATAAATAGAGGGATGAGTGGATAATAATTAAAGTTAATATGACAAAATAGTGACACCGTTGGATCTGTGTTGGGTGTTGATATACCATTCTTTTTACTTTTCTCTGTGGTTGAAATTTCCCCAAGACAATGTTTACAAACAATAAGCTATGGTGCTCTCACTGAATCTAACCACAGGAGCATGCATGCACTCTGTCTCCACCCCATCCTCTCCAGAGATGGAGCCAGTTCCCAGACCCACAGCCCCTCACCTCGATCAGAGCCGCCTTCTCCCTGTCCTCTGAGTGCTTGGCACTGTCCAGTTCATCATGCATCTCTGAGAGCTGGTCCTGCAGATCCCTGATCTCAGTCTGGTGCTGTTCCCGCTCCATCTTCACCTGGAAGAGCCTGACAGGAGAGACAACCATCAGATATTTTGCTCCCCTGATTCTGACCTTCAGAAGCTCACACAGAGGGAGCCAAAGCCCCAGGAAGCCTCCAGGTCTCCATCCTGAACTGAACAAGGAATCTCCAGCCTGCAAGGACCTCTGGTAAGAACGAATCTTCCCAAGACATCAGATGAGAACTCAAACCAGCGAAATGGGAAAGGCTATGAGGACACTCTCTCCCCAAAAGGAAAACACAGGGTACTAGAGTTTAGACACTGAAGATGAGAAAATCACACACACACACACACACACACACACAAAAATTGTTCATATTTTTTCACCAAAGTCACCATATCCTGCTCTATCCTGGTACTGTTACTCTAGAACAAGAGAATTAGAAAATTATGGCCCATGGGCCGATGCAGTCCATGCATGTTTTTATAAATGAAGTGCTAGGGAACACAATCATGTCCACTCGTTTGTGTACTGCCGTGACCGCATGCACGACACACTGCCAGGGCTGAGTGGCTGCACAAAGACTGTTGCAAAAACAATCTGACAAGAAAAAGTTTGCCAACCTCTGGTCAAAACCACACCTGCAACTCCTGTACCTTTTTAGTTTGGAAGTTCTTTATTATACCCTTGATTTTCTGATTGTTTTTCTTACTAATTTATTTTCTGAAATTAATTTCTACGAAAGTTTTATTTTTATTGTTTTTAAAGTTTTTATTTTACTTGTTCATGTTTGCAGTTCATGTAGTTTACAATCGTCTTGGGGGATGGTTACATGTACATATTAAAGCTTGTTTCTTTTTTCCTTAATTCTTTCCCTTTCCCTCCCTCTCCCTCCTCTTCCTCCAGTTCCCCTATCCCATTTTTTCCCCATCCCATTTTTTATTCTTGTTGATATTATTTGTTTTATCTCATGTTATAGCATATAATGTTTATATTTATTAGGGTATTAGGTTCCTGTACATAGCGTATTTTTATTCTTCTCATTTCCCCTTCCCCTCCTCCTCACCCCTCTTTCTTGCTACCTTGGACCACTTCCTTATTGTCTATCGATGTTTTTTTGGGGGGGGGTGTTTTGTTTGGGTTTTTGGGGGGGGTACTGGGGATCGAACTCAGGACCTTGCGCTTGTGAAACAGGCGGCAGAACCACTGAGCTAAATCCCCAGCCCTGTATATCAATGTTTTAAAAGCAAAAACTCCACCATTACAATCACAAGGGCAGCTAAATCTTTATTACACAATATCCTAGTCTTCCTGACTTTCTCCCTCAAATCCACTCCTGCTTGACCTTCCACTAAAGCCTCCTGTCCTATCCACAGGGCTTCAGAGCACTGTGCATTTTCAGACCTTGGTTTTAGATCCTTTGCCAGAGATAATACGATGGCAGCCAGCTTGGACTTGACTTTCCTTCTCTATGACTGAGGCATGCTGGGAGACCAGAAGGCACGTGCCACATACTTGTTGGAGGCAGAGCCCAGGCTCCTGACACCTGTCCTTAAATGCCTCTCCTCAGTGTCCCCACTTCCTATCCACCTTCTATGAGATCTATTTTAAGGAGTGACACTTTACAAGACTACAAAGAATTTGAGGAACTATCAGCCTTCCCATGTACCTGCCTGCAGATGTCACCCACTTCCCAGTTTCACAGGGATGAGAGGGAACGGAAGGGCATGCAGTCTCAGTAAACATCTGCAGGGCTGGGTCCCCAGGACAAAGGTCTGGCTACATGCGATGTGAGGACCCAGGCAGGGCAGGGCTGGAGCACTCACTCCTCCAGGCTCTTTCGAAGCTCAGCCTCGCTGTCCTCCAGGCGCTGCTGTAGCGCAGCACTGTCCTCCACCCGCCTGTCCAGCTGGCTCCGCACTTCTTCCAAGTCCGCTCTCAGGCGCTCTCTCTCTTCTTGGATGTTCTGCTGGTTCTAACATGAATCAGTATGATTTTAAAGTTCCTCCACAGCACATTAACATGATCCCATAGAATCCCACTTCTAAACTCCAAGGAACTCCTTTCTGTTGCACTTACAGTATTAAACAACTTAATCGAATTATATACCTAAGGTATAAGAGAGAAAGAATATTAAATATTTAAATTTATATTAAATATTTATATTTAATGAATTACAATGCTCCTAAAAAACTAGTGAAACTATTGTACTATTTCACATCTTTTATATATGAGTATGATCCTATTATGGCTTATATCTAGATGTCCTCCACAAAGCATCATGTGCTCATAGGTAGCATTTTTGGGAGGTGGCTAGATCATGGGTGTGTGATATTGCATTATGGGTTCATGATAACTAGATTAGTCTACTGATTGTTTAGCACAGTAACTGTGGATGGTGGGAAAACCCACCCTGGATGGTAGGTAGTACCACACAATAGGCTTATAGCCTGGATGGGATAAAAGGGAAAGGGAGGCTCACTGTTGGCTATGTCCTGCATACCATGCTATGGACTGTTTCTCCTCTGCCATGCTCCCCTGCCATGCTCCCCTGCCTTAGAACCAGTGGACTATGGACTGAGAGCTCTACAAACTGTGAGCTAAAATAAACCTGTCCTCCTTTAACTTGTGGGTGTCAGGTATTTTGTCCCAGTAATGAGAAAGTAACTATGACAGATTTAAATATATATGAATGTTTAAATTTTAAAAACTTATTACAGTAAAAAATACATTGCCATTTCCAGTACCCCCCCCAAAAAAAACCCAAAACAAAACAACTCCCCCAAACATTGATAGACAAACCCCTCAAAATACTCCCTCTACTTTAAACATACTTATCTCATGGTTCTGGCCACTTTCTAAAGCTGTTCCAGAAGTTCTCTTTTGTGAATGTCTTTATAAGGTGTGATTAAAAATACAGTGAATATTGCTGCTGAGTACCAGCTAACAGAAAGGAACACTCAGAAATACATCATAGTGTGTTCAGTGATCTGGTGCCATGCACTTCTAGCTTTTCCCCAAAGTGAAAATGACCATGAAAGGTAAATGTTTAGAATCAATTCAGGAAACCAAGGCAGCTATGACAGGGCAACAACAGACATTGTCCAAGCAAAGAATTTCTCTATGCTTTGGTTACTTAAAAAAAAATTCTTTGGATACCAGCAGCCAAGTACATAGGAATTTACTCAGTGATGAAAGGAATGTTTCTTTTGGAGGAAAAAAAAAAAACGGTTTTCACTTCACCTGAACATCCCAATGTGCTTGAAATATTCTTTACCTACCAAGACTGAAATGGAAAAAATAAGAGGAAAACCAGATACCTTGACCTCTAGTTGAAGTTGCCGCTGAAGTTCAGCCACTTCTGAGGTCAACTTGTTTTTCTGTTCCAACAGATCTTTGACTTCAGATGAGGAGCTAGATGTCTGCAATTAATTGCAAAGATATTCTAATATAAATGTCCATGATGCCTTATTTCAATTCTCTTCCCCCAAATGTAATCAGAGGAGTAATACTTAAGGCATAACACCATCTCAAGACTCAGTTCAAATATCAACCCCTACAGAACTTTCTCTGAATTCATAGGAAGTTAATCATTCTGGCCCCCTGGAGACCCCAGTGAACTTTATTTTACATCATTTACCATAGTCACAAGGATTATTTCATCAGATTTCTCAACACCATTCCAATACAACTAAAATTTGGATAGGTGATACACTTGTTGGAGGTCCTTAAAGTATTCTGTAGAGCAGTATGAAATATGAAGGTATTAAACTTAGTATAAGCAAAACTTATGAGCTTTTCCACAATAAATTCTAGATTCCAGGCCATAGAAATCACTGATTGGGCCAGGGATTTAGCTCAGTGTTGTCACACCTGCCTCACGAGAGCAAGGTCCTGAGTTTCATCCCTAGTGTCAGAAAAAAGAAAAAAAAAAAAAAGGAAGAAAGAAATCCCTGATTAAAGAAAAAAACAGCCACAAAACCTTTTTATAAGTAAACTGAGAAAGAAATATTCACTTTTCTTCATCAGTGGCAGAACATGGATTAACTTCAGTGTTTCTTAGGAGCAGTTTGAGAATTACTACCTTAGGTTATATACTTTGAAGCCATGTTGCATTCACCTTCATATCTACAGAACCCAACACTTCTCTGACATTCAATAAAATCTCAGTTAATAATTTCTGGAATTAGGGCTGTAGTCATGATAGAGTAGCTGACCTCAGATTTACCCTTCCAACAAAAACTATGAAAGCTAGACAAAATATATAATTGTTTGCAGGCACCAAAAGCCAAATAACATAGGACTATAATCTTTAAAAGGGGAAGAGGTCATGCTGCTTTGTCCCTAGGCTCTCCCTGACCACATTTCCAAACCATAGTACAGTAAAATTTGAAAAGCCCAAACAACATTGTTTGGAAATTACAAATCAAAACAATAAGACATTAGTATGCCGTGATCAGAATACCCAAAATCCAAAGTACTGAAAACAACAACTGCTGGCAAAGATATGGAACAACAAGACTCTGTTTCACTGATGATAGAATGAAAAACAGTACAGCCACTTTGGAAGTCTGGTCACTTCTTACAAACCTAAGCATGTTCTTACCATATGATCCAGCAGTTACATCGCTTGACATTTACCCAAATAAGGTGAAAACGTCCATCTACACAAAAACCTGTACATGAATGTTTACAGAACCTTTGTTCACAATTGACAAAATTTGAAAGCAACCGCGGTGTCTGTAGTAGGTTAATGGATAAACTGTGCTATTATTACTCAACACTAAAAATAAATGGGCTGTCGTCATGCCATTAAAAGGCATAAGAGAAAATGCACATTACTAAGTGAAAGTGGCCAATATGAAAAGGCTACATATTGTATGATTCCAAATACATGACTTTCTGAAAAAGGTAAAACTATAGACAGTTAAAAGATTCCTGGTTGTTATGGAATGGGGAAGAGGAAGGACAAATAAGCAGAATGTAAAGGATTTTTAAGACAGCAAAATTACTCTGTACAATACTATAATAGCGGATACATGTCATCATTCATTGTTCCAAACCAAAAGAAAGTGCAATACCAAGAGCAAACGATGTAAACCCTGGACTTCAGGCCATACCAATGGATCAGGGCAGGTCCACTGATTATAAAAAATTACCACTCCGTGGGAGGACATGTGTAGGGACAAAGAAATCTGTACTTTCCACTCAATTCTTCTGTGAACCTAAAGCTTCTCTGACCAAAAAAAAAAAGTTTATTAATTTAAGAGGGAAAAAATCCCAATGGAAAGAGGCAGCTCACTGATGAAGGAAACGGACCCTGGTGTTTAGAGATGGTAAGTAGAGAGATTTCAGGGTTAGGGAACTGAGGAGGTGAGAGCAACATAGAAGTAGCTCCAAAAGTCTAGAAAAAAATACTCTTCGGATCCTTGGATGGTTCCTAAGCTGTATTATGAGCAGGGAAAGATGCAGAAAGGCCCGTGGAACCAAGCTATAAGGAGGCAAAGAAACCAACAGAGACTTCACAGATGGTACAAAGCTAGGAGGCGCTAGGGTTCCAACTCAGCCAACATAGAGAAATCCTAGTGGACATGCTGGCATTCATTTGAGAGTCAAGAAAAGGACAGGGACTGAGCCATAGGAATAAGGGCAAAAGCTTAATTCGACCCAACCGCAATAGCAATGGCTAAGACAACCAAGCACATGGTGTGACAGTCACCTGCAGATCATTTAAATGACCAGGAAAATTCAGCCTTCTTGAGAGAGAGACGATGCAATCCAGGACACCTGTAACTTGTCATCCAGAGCTGACCCAGATATGGAAGTTAGCAGATAAGGACTTCAGAAGAAATACAGAGAGAGAATAGCTTTTAAACAGAGGAAATCATGGATGAAATGATGATTTCCCATACATACTTAGATTCCATAAATATAATAAAGTAGACATTCTAGGAGAGCCACACACAATATCTGAAATTTAATAACACCTTAGATGGTTCTTGAAAGAATCAGCCTTAAATGAGGATAAAGAAGATTCTTTTAAAGACATCTTAATAAGTCTTAAAAGAAGACTAGCATAGCCAGAAAACAAGATTATTGAATTTGAAAAGTCAATAGAAAGTATACAGACTATCTGATGCATCAAAAGGGACACACACACACATTACACACACACCCCAAAACCTCCCCCCAAACACAAGTACACTTACACACAAACATGAACAGGGAACGTGAGATATGCAGGTTATCATCAAAAGTTCTAGACACATAACTAGAATCTGAGAAAAGCTGAGAGAAAATGGAAAAGAAGCAATATGCAAAGAAACAATGGCCAAGAAGTTTCAAATGTGATGAATGCCAGCAACCCATCAATTCAAGAACACAATGAACCTTAAGTAGGGTAAATATAAGAAAAACCACATTTAGGCACATTATAGTTAAACTTCTAAAAATTGAAGATAAAATATTCCAAGCAGCCAGAGAGAAAAGACACCTCATGTTCAGTAGGACAACACTAAGACAGACACCTGGCTTTCCAGTGGGGCCCTCAGGGCCAAAAGACCAATCAATGCTTCTAAAATCATAAAACAAAATAATACTTGCCAAACGTTCGTCAAAAGTGAGAGTAAATGGAAGATATGCTCGGATAACACTGAGCAGAAAAGTACTGCAGGATACAGTAGGAAAATTCTCCAGGATGGAAGAAAACAGTCCTAAATAGAAACACTGGAGTACAAAGCAATGAACAGCACTGGAAAGGGAATAAATCTAAGTGAAAGATATGCGAGATCTTGACAGAACACTGCTGGGAGGAGGTGAAGACATAAACAATTGAGCAGAAAGTTCACGTTCATGAACAAGAATACCGATAATGTGAAGATGTCAGTTCTACCAAATGTATCAACACATTCAGAACAATCTTGATCAAAATTCCTAAAGGTTCTCGCTTCTTCTTGGTGGAAACTGACCAGTTGATTTTAAAGCCTATATAGAAAGACAAAAGACCTAGAATAGCCAAGGCAATCTGGAAGAAAAATAAAGTTGGAAGATGAACATTACAGTACTAGATTTCAAGGCTTATTCTAAAGTTCTGGTAATTAAATCTTCATGGTTCTAACACAAGGAGAGGCCAGGCAACCAACAGAACAGAGCAGAGGCTAAGTGTTAGAAAGGGCAGAATAACCAGAACCAGACTGCGCAGCTGGAGGAGGTACAGTATGAATTGCTTCAAAGGCTTTCTAAAACCACTGGCAGTATTTAAGAGCTAAACCTAGGCCTACTTTATGACCCAGCAATTTCACTCCTAGGTTTATACTCAAGAGAAATGCATGAATATGTTCCCAAGAGAAACCATGTACAATAATACTCATGGTGCCTTTTATCCCAATACCCCAAAACTGGAAATGTCCACAAAGAAGACAGACTACAGTGATTACTAACACAATGGAAAACTCCAGATCAGTAAAATAGTTAACTGCACGAATACAACATGAGTGATTCTCACTGACACAGCATTGAGGAAATGAAGCTGGATGAGCAAGAACACAAATTGTCACTTTTTATTTATATAAATTTCAAGAAAGGGAAAACTAATCCAGGTGACAGAAGTTAGAAGATGATTACCTCCAGAGAGAGGGGTGGTGACTGACTAGGAAGCCAGGAAACCAGGGTGGTGGGAATAATGACCTTTGATCTGAGTGGTATTGGCATGGATGCAAACCTACGTTAAAAATTCACTGAACTGTGCAATTAAGATTTGTGCAACTTGCTGTGTATTGTACTCCAATAAAACAATGTAAAAATAAATATCTTCTGAAGACACATTTGTTGCCTGAAGTTATATCCAAAGCCCTGTCCCTGTGCTAGTAGGGATTACTGATCTATTACTGCCAGCAAGACTGCCATCCCTCACGCTCTGCCTGGGCCTGCAAGCAAGTAATAAAATAAGCTTATTTTAGCTAAACTGGCTTCTTTTTGATGTTATATTTCCAAACTGAAGAGAAACATAACAAAGAGGGACACAATTAAAGAGAGTCTATTAGAAAATATCTCTGATCTGAGTGTGAATATTAATGGGTCTCATTTTTCTTCTTCCTTGGAATAATAGGATGATGTTCTCCAAAGGAGTTGGCTAAAATCCCACAGTAAAGTGGTTAGATAACTGCAGCTATGGGAGAGGAAGAGATAGAAGCAGGAATCAAAGCTACAAAAGGCAGCGTCTTTGCTCGGATGTCGAGGAATACAGATGTGGGTTTTATGTGATAAACTTTCCACCTGTCCCATGGAAGGGATGAGAACTGAGAAGCAAAAACACAGGGCTTGCAATTTTCTTAGGCAAAATGAAAACAATCCCTTTTAGAAATCTGAATCCAACTCAGGGGAAGAAATCACACCCTGCTCTTTCCCAAAAAGAAAAAACCCACCCTGCTTTGCCATTTCCCAAAATGGCTTCAGTCTGTACCTAGAGGGCTCTGACATTCTCTCCTACGGAACTGCTTAACAGGCACCAAAGAGATAAAACTCCAAAACCCCTGCCAGCAAATAATCAGATGCAGAAAGTGAGATAGAGAGAAGGGGAAAAACTTGTGGGCAATTAAAGTCATAGTTGCCTCCTTCCTTCTTCTCATCCCTGCTCGGCTTGGCAGCAGCTTCTTAACAGCTCTCCCTTGCTCTAATCTAACCTCTCTCCAAAAGCTACAAAAGGAACAAACTTTTACAAACACAATGGTAGTCAGGCCTGTGTCAAATCCACCCACAGTAGCCCATCCCCTTCATGGAAATGGGAACTTCCACAATCTCCAAGGCCTTCCTACCTGGCTCTTCCTCCCATAGCTGGCTCTATGTTCTGGCTACATTAATGACCCAGTCATGTTCCTTCATGCTTCCCTTGACTTAGAACACCGTGCCTTCCTTTCTTCTCACAGAGAGGTCTACCGTCTTTTGAGACACCATTAATTACTGTCACTGTGTCCAGGAGGGCTGCTCTGACTTCCCTGGTGTGAGCAGGCTGTGCCAAGCCTGTCACCCACAATGACAACTTTAACATTAAGGCCAAAGACTGTGTTCTCCCCAGGAGAAATCAAGTAAACAAGAAACAAGAACCATAGTGATGATTTGGACTGAAGAGTTTCGCCAATAACTGCTAAGGATTTTAAGGGCTATGTAGAGCTCCTCAAGTCCGTATAAACAAGCTACAGGACTCTGAGATTCCCCATGGGAACGGTGGGGGTGTGCACACAGACATACACATGAGGCATGGTCCTGATGGCAAAGGAACATGAAACACAAAAGAATATGTAAGGCCTAAAAATGTCCTCTGTGAATGTTTTCAAAGCTGAAAAGCAGCTACAGACAGACTTTCTACTCCTGGCTCCTGGTACAGTAGCATTTCCTCTTTCCCTCCAAGCAGAACTTCCCAGCAGGGAAAGGGAAACTATGCTGCCAAGAACTGAGTCCTAACAAGTGGTGTAGGATGGAGAAGCAAGTGTTCTGCTCTCCTCTTTAAAGTGCTGCTTTGTTTCAGGGCACAAACTGTGCTAGCATATGGTAGGTGTTTATCAAATATGAGATCACCCCCCAAAATTTCTAAGCCCCAATTCATATTCAGCAAGTCAATTAAACAGGCAGCTTGGGAAGAGCATTTGGTATCACCCCACTTCTTCCCTCCCTGGGGGCCTGGCTTCACCAGTGTTGGTCTTTTTTTCTTTTCTTTTCTTTTTCTTTCTTCCTTTCTTTCTTTCCTTTGTTTGTTTGTGGCTTTTTGAGACAGGGTTTCACTATGTAGCCCAGGCTGGCCTTGAATTCACTATGTGGTCCAGGTTGGCTTCGAACTAGCAGCGATCCTCCAGCCTCAGCTTCCAGGTGCTAGGATTACAGGCTTGGCCACCAGTATTCATTCTCTTCACACCTGAACCCCCAGCTCAGCCCAAGCCTGCTTACATTTACCTTCCAAATTTACATGTAGCAAATTGTGAATTCTCCACCCATACCTCATTGCATTTTTCCTATACTTATCTTCCCCCTTTAAATTTCACCAACTATTTATGTCATCTGTTATATTTTATGTGTTATTTAAATAAAATATCTTAAAACATCTCTGAAAAAAGTATAAATTAAAAATACAGGTTAAGTATCCCTTACCCAAAATGCTTGGGACTAGAAGTATTTCAGATTTGGGATTTTTTTTTTGTTTCAAATATTTGCATATACATAATGAGATATTTTGGTGATCCAAGTTGAAACATGAAATTCATTTACTTCCTATAGATTCCCAATACACATAACCCAAAGGTAACTTTATACAGTGGTTTTCCCAACTTTGTGCATGAAACAAAGTTTGTGTTTTCACTATGACCAGACATGAGGTCCAGTATGGAATTTTCCAACTACGGTGTCATGCTGCACTGAAAGTTTTGGATTTTGGAGGATTTCAGACTTTTTGGATTAGAAATGTTTTAACCAGTATTTAAAGCACTGTCCTCTAGTTTAAGTGCTGCTCACTACTGCAGAAACTTCCTACTTACTGTTGTAAACAAATGCACAGAGAAAACAGGAGTTGTTTACTGCATTCCACAAGAAACACACTTGGAAAATACAAACTTCAACTTACTTGAGGATTCCCTTGGGCACTCCCTGCTGCTCGAGACTTTAAAGTCTGGATTTTCTCAAAGACCAAGTTGACTTTCCTTTTAGTGGCATCCTCATTGTCAGAGCTTCTGCAAAAAAAGATAGCAGAGAAAACAATAAGGGGCATGACCCCAGGTCTCAGAATGGATGGTGTGTTTTTCTTCAAATAAGTTGTTTGGGACAGGGATTTGCATTCCCAAATATGTGAGAGAGACATAAGCACATTCTAAATAAACTTGGAGAAAACATTCAGTTAAAATATTTGTTTCATTCAAATAACTCATATTCATTCCAAAAAGAATTCTTTTCTTTGTATCTCTCTCTCTCTCTCTCTCTCACACACACACACACACACACACACACACACACACGCTGCACCTTTAAATTGTACACTAGAACAATCTGCAGTGATCTGAACTTATTTAGCCTATGCTTTAAAAAATAAATCCCACCAAGCCAAGACATCCCCACAGTGGCCCTTTGTCTTGGAGTTCAAGTGTTTTCAACGTCTACCACACCCCTGGCAATTGAAAGATTTAAAATAAAATTCCTTAACTGGACACCACCCACTGCAGCCTGTCTCAGCAGCCTTTCTCCGAGGGAGGGAAAGAGCAGGCTGGAAGGAAAAAATTTAAAGAATTTTTAAAATCAAAAGTTCTTCTACCTTCATCTTAACATGGTAGAACCCTTCACAGGGAAATACTAATACGACGAGTTCTTGGCTAAATGCATCTCTAATTTTTTTCTTTTTTAACCAAAAGAGCCCCATGTTATATTTTGAGCCTGACTTGCTCTACCATCTCTGTGATGCAGACAAATAATCATCAGGCACAGTACAAAGCTGTCGAGTGTCCTGGAGTCGATGAGTGTTGGTGGAGAGGCTGGCTCTCAGTCACAGCAGGCTGAGGCCTTTTCTCTGATTAGCCACCTGATGAGAGAAACTGAAACAGGAGCTGCGTGGTCCTTATTGGAATTCCAGCACAAAATCTGAGCACAGACTGAAAGCCTGACTAATCCAACTCAGTCTGTGAGATAAGTACAGAAAACACAGCTTCTAAATGACCTGTATTGCCTTAAAAATAATGGGACCCAGGGCTGCTGGCCAGCATTCTCTGTGGGGCAAGCAGAAGCTGTCCCTCTTTGTAACTTCTCAGCAGGGCCACTAGGGCCAACATATGTGTGGAGGAATTCAAGATGGCACTGACCTAGCTCAACATGGGACAATCTCCCATCCTTGAATTTGCATTTGATCAGTCAAGGGTTGGTTTAAATATATACTGTATTCATGTTTGATATATGATGCCATTCTTTCTGCTCGCCTACCCCGGTTTCTACCTGTTCTACTCCAGATTTAAATGCTGGTATGAACTACAGCCATTGAGACTCAACCCCAGGGCAAGGGGGATAAGATATAAATCCTCAGAAGAAGAAACCAAGAGTCCCCTCTCCACAGCCCCCAGAAATGTCAATACTTTGCTCCTTAAGGAAAATCACTCACCCTTCTTTGAGGTAATTATAAAGTATCTGCTTGGCCGTCTCCTCATTGGCTTGTTGGTTGAGCTCTTGCTGGCCCTTTAAGAGATCTGGTGTGGCCTATAACATAATTGTGTCTCTTATTAGAGCAGGAAGATGACATTTCCAGGCAGATGGCAACGAACAGGTACCTACTTTCCAGAAATGATTCTCTGGATAAACATCCTCATCGAAGCCTGCTCCAACATCGCTCAACTCTGTGATCTTGAGCAAGTTGCTTAACCTCTCCCCTCAATTTTCTCACTTAAAAATTAAATAGTACCCACCTTGACATGGCTGGTGCAATAAATATGAACAGATGCATACAACAAATAGTGCCTTGCACTTGACAGCCTTATTATCAACCGTATCGTTATTTTTCATTGTTACTATCAAGACACTGCATGTACCACATAGAATCTATCACTTTATGATTAATGGAGGTTAGGATTAACCTAATTTCTCAGACTAGAAATTAACCTAGTCATTCAATGTCATGAATAAAAATATATCTACATGAACCTAACCACCGAACCTCTGGGTAGAAACTAATTCTGCGGACTTATAGGTTTCACATGTATCATGTTTGATTTTACATAAAGACCACAGTGGAAACCTAGTGGTACTGAAAATAACCTAGAAAACTATACAATCTGGAGTAGGACATAACCTGACTCTTAAAAAAAAAATCAGATGTGCAATTACTGATTCAAGATTGAAGATGTGATCCTAGAGCCACTTGTAGAATGAGCACATCATTAGATCGCTGGAAGAAAAAAAAAAAAACAAACAGGTTTAATACATTAGTGTTACCTGAGTATTTGAGTTGGAAGAAAATGTCTTCATGGAAATTTTCTTGGCGCCGGAATCCGGTGAGGTTGCCACGGCCCGATTCTGCAACATCAGCGTGGCAGTGGCTGTTTTTATTTCATCCTCCTTTCTGGCCTGAGCTGGAAGGGAGGGTGCACAAACCACCACGGTGCCTTCCCGACCTCCTTTGTTTTCTGGAACTTTCCCATCTTTGTTCTGTGGGGCACCCTGGGCGCCGTGCATGGCTCCCTGCAGCTTGGCAAAGGCTCGGCCCATGCCCTGCTTCCCAAGGTACTCCTGAGCCAGGGACCTCTGGGGACACAGCTGGGACGGCCGGAGGAGGCGTTCACTGGACTTGCCCAGGTTCCTGCTGAACTCTGTCAGGTACTCTGAGTTACCCTGTAAACCAAAAGGAAACGCACTGTCCACGCTCCGGGACCTCTTCCTGTCATCTGGGTTGATTCTGTTTCGCTTCCCAGACCTTCCTCTTCTCTGAAGTCCAGGCTTTTGATCAAATTTTTCAATCAACTGATCCACACCAGGAATTGAGCCCGTGTCGATATCCCTCCCAGTTCCGGGGAAGAAGGGGATATACCTCCTGTTTTCGTGCCGGTTGACGTTGTCAGCATGGATGGCACATTCCTGATCATCAAGCAGAAACCTATACAAAGAGTTGGCTGAGGTGGGCGTGGTGGAGGAGGATGAGGACCTCCGTGAGCGAGCTCCGTCCAGGATGGGGCCCGCTGAGTCTTGTCGCCGGAAGGGAAGAACATCTGGCCTGGTTTTCTTGATTTCGCCGTGGGCCTGTGGGCTGAGGGTAGACAGGGACCTCCTGCTAGGGGAAAGGGCGTCCCCCACCCGCCCTTCCTTCATGCAGCTCTGAACATTGACACACACTGAGGTCTGCTTCTCAGGCTCCTCTGTGACCACAGAGCTGCACAGGCGGGTGGACTCCAGGGAAGGGCTGGTGGGCGGGGGGTTGCCAGGTTTGGAAGAACAAGCCCAAGGCTGCTTCTTGTTGTTAGCACCTTCTTCTGCCAAACCGTTCAACCCGTCGCTCTCGGGAGCTTGGAGATTGTGCAAGTTCAGGTCATTCTTGTCAGGGTCGTAGGGCTGCAAAAGCTCTGGGTGCCTTTGAAAGTTCAGCAGGTGGGAAGACTTCCCTGGGATGTCTTTTCGTTCTAGGACACTGTTCCTGCCCTCGTGGAGAGAGGGCTGCTTCGGGTTTCTGGGCGGGCTGGGCTGGGCGTATGAGTTCTCTGGGTGCGGTGGCTCTTCCATGCTGCTCTCCTTTGGTACAGAGCCGGAGCATCCAGGCAGGTCACTGATCATCGAAGATGGAAAGGAGGGCCCATTTTCTGAAAAAGGCCTGCCTGCTAGACAGTGCTCCGTGTTGTTGAGGACTATGTAGGGGTGACCATCAATCCCCTGGACTCTGATACTGACACCATAGGAGCCTGTCTTGGAGTGTGGGGAACTCCTTGTTTTCTTGGTCGCCTCACTTGCTAGTCGCAGGTGGACGCCGTATTCCTGCTGCACGTGTCGGTATTCACCAAAGTACAGCTCCATGGTTCCCTGTCCCAACTGCCAGGGAAGACGGGGTCAAAAGAGAACATTAAGTTAGAATTACATCTGTTTAAATGAAGATTAGGATAATTACGAGGGAAAACACCAAAGTTCAGAGAAAACAAGATCATTTCAATAGCAAAGCACTTCAGAACCAAAGACTGAGCGCTGCACCCTCCTGAGCCTGACCTGACCCAGCTGGCCTCTCTGGACGTTCCAGTGTCCACGCAGCCCTGCCCAGGGCCTGTTGTTGTCATTGGGCATAACCCTAGCCAGATGGTCACTGCTAATGGTTTAGTGCTTCTGGCACAGCCCCTTGATTCTTTTTCCAGCTCACTGATGCTCTGGTCACTCTTTTTCCTTACGTTGGTTTCCTCACACTTCATGCTATTTATTTTTAACCAGCAAGAGTGTCTCAGTTGCCAAGATTTGAGAACAAGGTACTTTTCCATGAAAATACTTCAGAGCTAAAGAGTTCTGATGCTCACCATTTTTCTTCTTCTCCTATACTTTTAATCTTCCCACAATACTTTCAGTATTTTTTACACACAATCCTGCTTTGAAATCTTTCCAGTGTTTGAATATAATGTCTAAAACATCTTAACTCTATGGAATCAGCTGTTTGTGAAACTAATGATGTGAGTAAGTGATTAAAAAATTTTTTAAACTTTTTCTTCTTCCCAAAAAGGTTCAAGTGACATAGCCATCTGAAAAATGTCATTTAAAAAATACAGTAAAGTGAAGGTGCAGTGCTCTTTATTTGGCAATGAGTCTTGATGCCGAGAATCACTGTCTTCATGTTTCCAGTGTGTGACCGCCCTGCCAATGCCTGTGTGTCTGCCACCATACAGGGAGCCCCTCTGTCCCGCTCTGAAAACCTGTAGCAGAGCAGGAGACCCAAGAGGGTCACAGACGGTGGCTCTCTCATTCCTGTCACCTGCAAGGACCCTTTTGAGATTTCTTTCCATTCAGGAGTCAATCTCATAACATATTTTCCAAGAAAATCATCTATTCAGTCCACAATTCCAAATTTATTTGCATTGTTTTGCAAAATACAAATCATTTCATTTCCTCTATCTCCATATCTAGTTTTATTTGCCCTGTCTTCTCCTGTTTCTGGACTGTACCAGTAGAATATATGTTAACATTTTAATTGCTGCTTCTCTAAAGAATCAGTTCCTATAGTTAACAAACATTTAGCTTGTTTCATTTTCTAGTTTACTGAGTTCTACTTTGATTTTTATTACAGTCGTCCCTGTGCCCTTCCAATCCACAGAGGTATATCTCAAGACCCGTCAGTAGATGCCTGAAGTTGTAGATAATACCAAATCCTATATACATACACACCTATGATAAAAATTTATAAACTAGGCATAGTAAGAGATAAATAGCAATAATAAGATAGAACAATTACAGTACACACATACTAAAAGTTATGTGATTATGGTCTCTCAAAACTTTATTGAACCTTCACTTTTTCACCTAAGGAAACCAGAATACAGCTTTTCTTTGGGATGTAAACACTGCCAACACCACTACTTTTGCACTTTACAGTCATTGTTAAGTAAAATAAAGCTTATTTTGACACAAGCATTCCAACACCACAAGGCTCAATCTGATAACCTAGAAGGCTGCTAAGTAACTATCAGGCACTCAGTGTATACAGTGTGGATACGCAGGATACAGCAATGACTCATGCCGGGCAGCATGAGGTGAGAGCCCATCCTGCTACTCAGAACTTTATACTTACAAGTTATTTTTGGAATCCCCATTTAATATTTCTAAGTGACAGTTTTCTACAGGTAACTGAAACCACAGATAAATAAGGATGACCATATTTATTTCTGCTTCCTTCTTTTTATTTTCTTTCCTATCTCTAACTTCTTAATTTGTATGCTTTATTTGTTCATTTTTGTTCTTTAATCACACAAATTGTGATATGTAACTTAGGAATTATGCTGGCTAGAAAAAGACTCCAAAATAGCAGCCTAAGACTTAAGATAGAATTTTTTTCCTCCAGAGATAAGAAGTAACTGGGCTGAAATAGACCCCAGGATGTTTTTTAGGAAAACCTCTTTTATTTTTCGACTCCTCTATCTCTAGCACATGGTAGATGCCTTATAATTACTGGTTAGCTGAGGCCAAAGCACAGATGCCAGAGACACACAGAATGAGTCGAACTCCTTTTTAGACATTCCTGGAACATACATCATCAATCCCTTATGTCTCCTTGATAAGAACTTAACCCTACTGCCACCCTCAGCTGCAAGGGAGGCTGGACAAGAAAGGTTTCAGCTGGTCAATGACACTCTCAACAAATTAACATTCTGTTAATAAAGAGAGCAGAACAGACATTGGGAAGGTAGCCATTTGCACCATGCTCATGTTTCTAGGACTATCTTTTTAAATTTTTTTTATTAAATAACTTTATTGTCAAACACATGCACATACAAAAGATTAGGACTATCTTGTAGAGAGTTTTGGTTTTGATTTCCTCTTTAACCCAAGAGTTGTTATTAAGAAAGTTTTTTCACATCCAGTATTTTGTTGTGTTATTTTGGCTTATGGGATCTTTACTTCTAAATGTTATTTATTTCTCCTCATTTTGTGGTCAGAAAATGAAGTCCTTACTATTTCTTTTAAGTTTATTGAGGTTTTCCCTGTATGCAAATATATGGATAATTCTTGTCAAAGCTTCCTAAGTGGCAGGGACAGTCTCCAGTTTAAGATATGGCATTCAAAATATACCCATTAGTTCAACCTTACGAACTGTTCAATTCAGTGATAGCACACACTTATTTTGTCTAACTTGTCATTGGGATTTAGGGACACACAGGCTCCTACAATAGCAGGGTGCTGTCCATTTTTTGTATGGTGTAAAATCTACTGACATCATCACCTCCCATCTTACAGACAAGAACAACTCTAAATGTGTGCATGTGTGATATTTACCATTATCTCACCAATTCCAATTATTTCATTATGTCTCCTTTGATTTTCAGTTATACTAATATTTTAAAATAATATTTAATCAAAATAAAACAAGATATAATGAAAACCTATAACCTCCAACTTCCCTTCCCCAATCCCAAATACATTCTTCAGAGTAAGCTAATTGCAAATTTTGGCTGTTTCTTCTAGGACTTTCCTCCACGTTTCCCAATAGTGTTCCCAGGTGTGATTTCTTATCAGTCCTACACATGGTAGATGACACAGTGCACGCACAATTTCCATTTTGCTCCCAACTCCATGTTTTGTTCTGGTTTCTGAGAAATATGGCCTCAATATTTTTCGAACCCGAAGAACTTAATTTGTAATTTCCAATAGCTCTTTCCTATTCTCTGATTTACTTTTCTTTCACAAATGCTACTCTGACTTCATTTTTGTTTTTTAACCAGGGATCGAACTCAGGACCTTGTGCTTTCGAGGCAGGCAGAGGCACCACTGAGCTAAATCCCCAGCCCTTGACTTCGGATATGAAACAGTGTCTCCGTCTTACTGAGATAGCTGTAAGTTTCCTCAAAATAGATGTTTTCTGATTTGCTCCGTTCCTCCTCTCACTCTTCACTTGAAGAGTGAAGCAGACTGGAGCTCAGCATGTGTGTGTGGAGAAGGCTGATTGGCTGCTGAGCTTCCATTCATGTGGGGTAAAAAGCTGTTCCCTGAAGAACTTCAAGTTTCAGTATCTGGGGACATTATTCTTCTGATGCAGCTCAGTTTCTCCAGGAAAGAGAGCTACAATCCACTGCTGAGGCTGCACGTGCCTGGCTGCTGGTGACAGAGCAGAGCACGGGAGGTGCCCTTTGTCCAATCCCTGCACTGCTTCACCACCATTCCAGTCCCATCCGCGCTGCTGGTGTGAGGGAGGACAGAAACAGGAAGCTGCCCCATATCCAGGGTACAGAGAAGAATCGGACCCCTAACTGCTTGGGCTCATCTCCTCTGCCTTCTCCAGCAGCTGCCCCCCCCTTTCAGAGCCTTTCAGCAGCTCTGCAGGAGAATCACCCACTGCTACCCTTACCCACTGCAGGCCCCTTGGAAGAAACCTCTCTCTGCCAGTGCAGCTGCTACTCCTCCACCAACATCCCCACAGCCACTCTCGGCCTTTCGTAGGTTTAAACTTTGTTCCTTTACTGTCACTTGAGTAGTACTCTGAAGAGAGGATAAACTTTTAAACTTGTCCAGCTTGACAAGGTTTCTAACATAAAGCAGGTAAGGGATGCAGCTCAGAAGAAATCATATGCGTAGTATGCACAAGGCCCTGGGTTGGATCCCCAGCATATACATATAAATGAGTTTAAGGACAAGTAGAGCCACTGTGCCTTACGGTGATGAAGAAATGAATGATGGCTGAAACCAAACTGACTGCCTGGCTGTGTCCTGACCCCTTTTTCCAGGCAGCATTTGCATTTCCACCCTCCTCTTTAGAAACGTTCATATGTATCAAAGTTTATAAGAATTAGGGGGCACTGGGGCTCTCACACATGCTAAGCAATCATCTACCATTGAGCTACACCCTCGGCCCGATAAAAAAATCTTTTAAAAGGTGTTGTATACAAATAAGTTTATCCATTGGGATGCTTTTTGTGTGCAGTATTTACTAAATGCAGCTATTTTCCTCACCAATAATCTCTTCTTATGCTAACACTGACTTTTCGATGAAAATATTTCTTCTTAACATTTGTTAATAAAAGTCTGATCTAGGGTTTTATAGTCCTTTTCAATAGCTGCTGCTGCTGCTAGAGTCAACACTAATTACATTTCAATCTTTGAATAAGGCCACCTTGGTTTATTACAATCTTAGCTCCCTGTTGGTAAATTAATCCACATATTTGAATTTCATGAAACACCCACAATTTACATTTCCTTGACAACAAACCTCAATCCAGTATTTTCAAGGACCGACATTTCTCAGCTGGGCACTGGTGTCTTAACCAAATGTGAATTTCTTTCCAATCAAAGTGTAAACACTGAATTAATTAATGAATTTCAGGACAGCTGTCCTGCACTCCTCAACC